TGCACCTGGCCTGTTTCTATTATTTCTATTCCTATTATCTTATTAGTATTTTTAAAAGTTATTTGAAAAAAAGTTGAATTATTAGAAAAATGTTTTCTAAATCATAAAGAGAAAATGGCACAAACCTTATCTCTGACTCTCCCAGCCCTTGAGAGCAGGTGTCTTTATTGAGCGTACTGAAAACAAAAGCAGACACGTTAAGCAACTCCCCCCACTCCCTTGTCAAGGACATGAGCTGTAAGGATTTCCACCCCAGTATAGTTCTCCCGGCTGAACGCTTGGGCAACAATGCTTACTTGCTGATCTAAAGTATTACACCCAAACTGTCATCTCTCCTCCTCCCAGCTGCCTACCCATGAGATTCTTGGAATTAGAGCCCCTCTTCCTGCTTTGTGTTTCAGGGCCGCTGGGGTTCGATTGATTGGAGAGATGCCCCAAGAAGATTTGCACGCGGTGGTGAAGAATTGCTTTGCGGTGGTGAACAGCTCTGTCTCTGAAGGCATGTCAGCTGCAATTCTGGAGGTAATTATGTAACTCAAGTACTGAAAGTGGGAGTATGAAATTGTCCATCACTCCTTTTCTTATTTGTGGAGGTGACGTCTTTGTCAATAGCATTCTGCACTTCTCAAAGCTAAAAAGGCCAAGCAGCATACCCGTTGGAGTTCAAAAGTCCTTTTGAAGTTCTATCTGGAAGTTTAAAAATATCATTTCATTTCTCATTGCTATTTCTCCTTGCCAGCGATGACGTAAAATAAAACTGGGATGGCATTGCCTCTCTGACCGTCTAAATATCTCTGACAGGAAGGCAGCTAAGGTTATGAAAGATTGGGCCAGGAAACAGGATGAAGGTGTTTTTGCAGGAAGCCTCCTTTTACTTGATCTTTTCTCTTTCTTTTCCATATTTTCTGTAATTCCAGAGCTTGAGGGAGGAGAAGAAAGGGCTGGACTTTGCAGGTGGCAGGAGACAGGGGCAGGGTAGTGATCACAGATGACAGGGTGGCGTGGGGGCCAGGCTGGATCTGATCTCTTTATCTAGCAGTCAGCTCTGTAAAATCGCTTCATCTTTTTTGACAAAATGTGTCTATCCCAGCACCACTCTGCAATTCCCCACCAGTGTATCTTGTGTTTTCAGGACCGAGGTTGGAGTGGGAAGACCGTGCTCTTGAAACCTGGGCAGGTTCTGGCTGGGCTGCGTCCCCTCTTCTGTAAAAGATCCTGGAAATCCTCGCATCCCCTTTGCAATGGGACCACCTACAACATCTCCTCCTCCTTGAGAGGTTTTTGACTGGGGCCTTTTACCATGATCTTCGATGCTTGATGTTAGCTCCTGGGGAGAATCACTGGCCTGTGTCTAACAGAAAAAGATGTTCCTTCTCTTGTTTTGGGGTTAGTTCATTGCCTTGGGGGCTCCTGAAGAATGAACCCAGAAAAGGGCAGACTGGACTCACTCATGCCAACACCAGCCTTTGGCACTGGGTTTTCCTCATGTGATTAAAGCACCCAGTACCGCATGCGTGGTACCCCTGGTGGTTCTCAGCACACGCTGCACACGACAGACATGGCGTAAGCATGCATTGATAGGCACATGATAAAGCCTGTTTTCCTGTCGAGAGAAACATGTGGCCACTGCTTCCCGAGGTCTTTGGCCCAGGTGTCATGTGTTCTTTCTGAATATGTGGATTTCTTAGTTCAGTGTCTACTTAGATTAATGCTGTTACTTTATCATAAGTCTTTGGGATATCCATGTATCCCCTTGGATACCGGGTGAATGTACTGAACTTACTAACAAAAGTTAAGATCTGCAAACCTTAGGGGTCCAGAGAGAACGTGTTAAACTGGGAAAAAAATCCTCTCTCTACGTTTAAGAAATGACTGACATTGTGTGCATAATATTTGCTCTTAATTTGGCATCATTTATAAAAGAAGAAAAAAACCTCAAAAGAAAAAAACACAGAGGGAGCCGGTAGCAGCTGTGTATCTGTGCTCATGAATCTGCTGTTAGATGCTTTCAAAGTGCAGAGTGTGAGTTTGTAAGGCCATCGTCCTCAGCCAGAGGACAGCACCTCAGTTTAGGGGTTGTCGCTAGTATTAATCTCCATTGTCCTTTCAAATCAGCTCCCAGCTGCAGTCCTCCGAGCAATATGTTAGCTTTAAAAGTGTATATGCTGATGGCACCAGTATTTGAGCTATTGTGAATTGCTCCTTTGTAGGTAAATATACGTGTTTTTTCAACTTCTTAAGGAAAGGTAGAGTGGAATTCGGGAATGATTTTACAACCAGCACACACAGCATTTCACTGCCGCTGTCAAACCTCATTTACTTCAAAGCAAAGGCAGCTGTTGGCAATTCCAACTGCCTTAAAATGTTGATGTTGTGTTCCTTTTGAAAACTCCCAAATAACCTTTGGGCAAAGGGTTTTGAATGAAGCTGATTTTGAAGGAGTGGTAAGGGTGCATTTCATTAGAATCAATTCAGATAGCCAAAGCGTTTAATCATGGAATAAGTGCCTATCGCTTTTGAAGGAAGTGATCTTTTGACCTTTCAGAATTAGCTGTATTTTCCCATGGAAGCATATAAACATCCCATTTGCAGAAACACGTTTCTTACTGATAAACTCCGAAAATCAAACTTTAGCTGGATGCGTGGGCAGCTGCGTGAACACTTCTACAACTAATCAGTTGTTTCCAGTTTTGAGCTTTTTTAGAGTTGAATCCTGCAGAGAATTACATTAAAAGTGTATAAACAATTATTTGCTCATCCCAGCTGTCATGATTAGGCTCTTTTCCCGGCCCCAGAACACACACACGCGCGCGCACACACACACGTACACACATAGGCGCACACACATGCTCACACACATGCACCGACAGATGCATGCACGCGCACACACGCTCTACCTGAGAGGAAGCCCATCTTCTAAAGCAGAGAGGAGCACCTGCAGGAAGGAGGTGATTCCTGGCCCCTTGGCTTCCAGACTCCAGCCTCAGTGATTGAAATAGGATGTGAGGTCATTCAAGGTGACTCTCTGACTCTGTGTCACTTTGACCTCGACTAGTGTGTCAGCGTGTTTGTGTGTTTGTAAGTGTGTGTGTGGATTCGGCGGTGAGATACCTTTGCCACTTGGGAAAGTTGAAGGGCCTTTTGAGTTTTCATCATTAGGAAGAAGCTACTGGCACGTATTTGGGATGGAGCAGCTGCAGGGAGGTGGGGTGCCGGTTCAAGGTGCCAGAATATGGCTAATTCTGAAAGGTCAAAAGATCAATTCCTTCAAAAGTGACAGACACTTACTCCATGATTGAACACTTTGGCTATCTGAATTGATTCTAATCGATTCATTGCATCAGAGTTGTACCCAAAATGCTGTTGGCACCCCCATTGAGAATCCCGGTAACCCCAATTATGTAAGATCCAAATGCGCTGTGGGCACATCCAGCCCAACTCCATCGCCACGTGACAAGCAATGCTTGTCTGACTTGACAGACGCCCAGTAAAGACCATTAAAATGCAAGCCAACCTCTCTGCAACAAAATCTAGACATGGTGGTTTCCAGCCCCAGGTATGTACCAGAATTACCTTGAAGCCTAAACAATCATAGGTACAGGTGATGGTGGCCACCCCTCACAAATCAGGCTTCACTTGTTTTGAGGAGGGGCCTGGCTGCTGAGTTTCTTACGACTGTTCTGCAGGGTAGAACAGAGGCAGTGTCTGTGTAAACCTTTATCAACTCTGCTGAAAATGGCATCCTGGCCACAAAGGCTTTTACAAAGAGTCTCATATGAAGTTTCCCTCTGCCTGATGAGAGCTTGGAGAGCTCATCTGGGGAAAATAAGAAATCAAGTGAGTTCTCATAGGAGCAGAGAGTAGAATAGGGGTAGCAGAGGCTGGGAGTGTGAGGAGTGGGGAGATGTTGGTTGAAGGACCTGAACTTCCAATTAGGAGGAATAAGTTCAAAAGATGTGTACTGCACATCATGGCTACTATAGTTAATAACAATATATTGTATCCTTGAAAATTGCTAAGAGTAGGTCCTAAGTGTTCCCACCACACAAAACAAGTATAAAGTAATGCATATGTTAATTAGCTTGCTTTAGCCATCCCACGGGGTAGATGTGTATCAAAACATCATGTTGTGGCCGGGCGGGGTGGCTCACGCCTATAATCCCAGCGCTTTGGAAGGCTGAGGCTGGTGGATCACCTGAGGTCAGGAGTTCGAGACCAGCCTGGCCAACATGGTGAAACCCCGTCTCTACTAAAAATACAAAAATGAGCCGGGTATGATGACTTGCACCTGTAATCCCAGCTACTAGGGAGGCTGAGGCAGAAGAATTGCTGGAACCTGGTAGGCGGAGGTTGCAGTGAGCTGAGATCACACCACTGCACTCCAGCCTGGGTGACAGAGCGAGACTCCATCTCAAACAAAACAAAACAAAACAAAAACCCATCATGTTGTGCACTGTAAATGTAGGCAATTTTTGCTTGCCAGGTTTTTTTTTTCTAATCAATTAAGTTCAAACACAAAGGTATCAGGTGCCTCTTGGATCCTGACCTTTCTTTTTTTTTTTTTTTTTTTTTTTTGAGACGGAGTCTCGCTCTGCTGCCCAGGCTGGAGTGCAGTGGCCGGATCTCAGCTCACTGCAAGCTCCGCCTCCCGGGTTCCCGCCATTCTCCTGCCTCAGCCTCCCGAGTAGCTGGGACTACAGGCGCCCGCCACCTCGCCCGGCTAGTTTTTTGTATTTTTTAGTAGAGACGGGGTTTCACCGGGTTAGCCAGGATGGTCTCTATCTCCTGACCTTGTGATCCGCCCGTCTCGGCCTCCCAGAGTGCTGGGATTACAGGCTTGAGCCACCGCGCCCGGCCGGATCCTGACGTTTCATTTGTCTTAGTTCCAGAGTGGGATCCCTGACACTGGCTCTGAGCTGCTTTCTGTCCCGAGCCTGTGAGTCGCGCACGGTGCCCCCCTGTGGACTCACGGGGCACGTTCTGAGGACGAGCACACTCACCTCCGTGCGCCCTCCGCCCAGGCACCGCCGTCTCCGCACCTGTCAGGCCCAGCTGCACGCCGTCGCCATTGTCCGGGAGTTCGTCTCTCCTTAAGACGTCTCCTTTGTTAAAGGCACTTTTTGTTGGTTTCTCAAGAGGTGACTTCAGAACTAGGTTTCTGTAAATGTGCAACCCTCAGATTCCACTGAAGTCTCTTTGCCCTCTGTTCATTTCACAACGTCCTGAGCGGGTTGCATGGCGCCTTTTCTGCTGAACTGCGGTTTTCCTTGCAGGCAGGGCCGTGCCCTCCACGGTGTGGAATCCTTCCCTGCGTCTCCCCTTGCGCCGTGCACCGTCAGATGGGATGCGTATGTTCATGCCTTCTGTCATTCAGCAGAAGTGGGCAGAGTGCCGGGTCTGCCAGGCTCTGGAGACGATGCAGCGGACAGACGCTAAAGGGCCTTGTTATCGTGGAGCCCATGTCCTTGTGAGGCACTGAAAGAAGAGCTGGGAGACGGGCGGGAAGCAGGCAAAGGGAAGAGTGAACAGAGAACTTTAGGACGTGCTGAGGGGGAAGTGCAGCAGCAGACGGGACAGTGGGCGGTGGGGATGTGCTCAGGGAGGCTCCATGGTGGCGTGGGCTGAACGGTGGCCCCTCCCCAAATGCCTGTGTTGAAGTCCTCGCCCCGGCGTCTCAGAATAGGAATGTATTTGGAGAGAGAGGTAATCAAGTGAGAATGAGGTCCCTGGGCGGGGGTGTGGGGTGGGGAGGGGGAGGCTAAAAAGGGAAATTTCTTTCTTTTTTTTTTTGAGACAAAGTTTCACTTTTGTTGCCCAGGCTGAAGTGCAATAGCCAATCTCGGCTCACTGCAACCTCTGCCTCCCAGGTTCAAGTGATTCTCCTGCCTCAGCCTCCCAAGTAGCTGGTATTGCAGGCACACGCCACCAGGCCTGGCTAATTTTTGTCTTTTTAGTAGAGATGGGGTTTTACCATGTTCACCAGGCTGGTCTTGAACTCCTGACTTCAGGTGATTTGCCCACCTTGGCCTCCCAAAGTGCTGAGATTACAGGCGTGAGCCACTGCACCCGGCCTAATATAGCTTTAATATAATTTTAATTTACTTTATCTCGATGTCTGGTTCTAAGGTCACCTGTTTTTTACTTGGGATTTATGGTTGTGAAGTGCATTCTCAAGACCTAGGACAGGTCACTATGCTCTATAAAACTTACTGAGTCAGGTAGGAAGCCCATCTGCTACTATAGTCTCATTTGCAGTTATAACAATGCCCAGAGACAGATGTAAATTCTGTAGTATTAAGCCATTTAATCTGGACAAGCACGGTGGCTCACACCTGTAATTCCAACAGTTTGGGAGGCCAAGGTGGATGAATTGCTTGATCATAGAAGTTTCAGATGAGTGTGGAAAACATAGCAAGACCCCATCACTACAAAAATTTTTAAAAAACATTAGCTGAGGATGGTGGCATGTGCCTGTAGTCCCAGCTACTAGAGAGGCTGAGGTGGGAAGATTGCTTGAGCCCAGGAGGCGATTGTTGCAGTGAGCTGAGATTGAGCCACGGCCTTCCAGCCTGGGCAACCGAGTGAGACCCTGTGCCCCCTTCCCCCGCAAAAAAGGTTATTTAATCTTCCCCACTACCCTTATGAAGGAGATACTTTTATCTCTGTTTTACCTCAGGGGAAACAGTCAAACAGTTGGGGGAGGTTGAGATGTTGACCCAAGATGGTACGAGTAGTATCTAGTGGAACCAGGATTCACACCCAGGCCGATCAGCTTCAGAGCTTCCCTTACAAATGTTATCATTTGTTTACTTCAAAAAAGTGTAAAATCTATAGAATAACTGAAAGAATGGTGCAGCGAATACCTGTGTACCCTTCACCCACGTTCATCCTCCTGCTTCCTCTTCCTCTCCCCCGTCTCTCTCCATACACATACACTCTCTTCCTCTCTCTTTCTTTTGCCAGATCATCTGAAAGACGGTGGTTGATCACAGCACAGCTAATATTTCTCTCTGAAACTTTGAGGAACAGGTGTCCTCTCCTGCACCTGGGAAGACATGAGCACGCCTGAGAAAATTCAGTGTTAGTCAAATTACATCACTGGATATGCACTCCATGCGTAATTCCCTTGGTGTTGTATTTTTTTTTTTTTTTTCAGGCAGGATCCACACAACATTCATGCATTGCATTTGGCTTTGTGTCTCTTTAGTGTCCCCCAGCCCAGCTCCCCATAGCTCTCCATGACGTCGAACCCTCTGAAGGGCCCTGGTCAGTTGTCCTAGAGAACACACAGATAGATTGGGCTGATGCATTCCTTGGGGTTGGATTTACCTCCCACCTCCAGCTGGGACTCCACGCAGGTGATGTGTGCTTCCCACCACGTCAAACGGGAGACACATCGGTCAGCTCTTCCTGCTGTTGGTGACAGATGGCTCCACTGTGAAGCCTTACCTCTTCTCTGTGACTGATAAGTCATCCGTGGAGTGGTGCTTTGGGTTTTGGGAACACAGATGCTCCTCACCTTATGATGGGCTGCCTCCCAATAAACCCATCACAAGTTGAAAATACTGTGAGTTGGTTAACACAGTGAAACCCCGTCTCTACTAAAAGTACAAAAAACTAGCCGGGTGAGGTGGCGGGCACCTGTAGTCCCAGCTACTCGGGAGGCTGAGGCAGGAGAATGGCGTGAACCCGGGAGGCGGAGCTTGCAGTGAGCTGAGGTCGTGCCACTGCACTCCAGCCTGGGCGACAGAGTGAGACTCTGTCTCAAAAAAAAGAAAATACTGTGAGTTGAAAATGCGTTAAATACCCGTAAACTACCAAGTATCATAGCTCAGCCTAGCTGACCTTAAATATGCTCAGAAGACTTGCGTTTGCCTACAGTTGGGCAAAATCGTCTAACATGAAACTGTTTTATAATAAAGTGTTGAATATCTTATGGAAGATATTATTGGATACTGTACTGAAAGTGAAAAACAGAATGGTTATATTGTTGCTGAAATATGGTTTTTACTGAACATGTGTTGCTTTTGCAGCACCATGAAGTCAGAAAATCTTAAGTGGAATCATTGTAAGTCGGAGACCATCCTGTTTCCTGATGACCTTTTACTTAACGGATTTGATCCGGATCCATTGGGATCCACTGTTGATCCCCAATCCTTGCCTGAATCACTTATTACACTGGGGGTTACAGTGTGATGATTTTCTAATTCTGCTCTTCTATCTACACTTAGTATACGCGCAGATTCTTCTGCAGAGAAGAGCCTTCCCTTTTCTTCCTCCTACTTTTCCTCTTCCTCCTCCTCCTCTTTCCTTTCATTTCCCTCTCATCACTAGGGAATCAGGTATTTTTGAAATTTAGTGTGTTACCATCTGTTACAGTCATTCTTTTTGAAGTTGCAAAATTGTCCTGCCGTGGTCAGTGGGATCCCCTTGAAGTTGGCTTCTGTTTCCTTTCGACCTGACATCACTGAGCTTTGAGCACTGTAGAAAGAGAACTCGCAAAATGCCTCCTGTCCGGGCAGGCGGGGCCAGGGCTGCACGCTGTGCTGTCGGGCTGTCGTCTTGTGGCCCAGCTGCTAGCTGCTGCCAGGCTGTGGGGTATCAGGTGCCTATCTCCAGACCTTCGGAAATGGAAAGTCGGCTTCATGACTCATCGGAAGGATAAATCGTTTTCCTTTTCCTTTTGTCTGCATGCCAGAGAGCTGAGTTTGGTTTTTGTGGCATTCATACTCCCTTGCCTGTGCTGGAAGGAAGTGGCTCCCTCAGGGAAAGAGACGACGGTGATTAAAAACACATCCTCCAGGTGGTCGGTGAAGAGGTATCAAATGAGCATTCAGAGAGAGGGGCTTCTTTGTGACACTGCAATAATTATGTCAGACAAGCGATTACAGTATATAGTGTTTCAGAGCTTCCAAACATAGTAAGTAATTAAAATTGAGATGTATTTTCAAATGTGCTATTGAGATTGGGATCTCATTTTGGCAAGGCGTATTTTTTGTGAGGTGCCAGAGGTCCAGTTAACCCAAGAAGTTACTCCGCCCCACACTGGCTCACCTTGCCGCAGAGGCTCTTGAAATGACTGCCTTCTGCCCCCTTTCCTCCTGTCTCCTCCAGGCGATGGATTTAGAAGTTCCGGTGCTGGCCAGGAACATCCCCGGGAATGCTGCCGTGGTGAAGCATGAAGTCACAGGGCTACTGTTTTCCAGTCCTCAGGTAAAGAAAAGTTCTTTCCCTCCATTCACTCACCTCGTCTGAATAGTTTTCCTGTGTTTAATGGAGAGAGTCTTTCTGTTAGCGCTCAGTATTCCTGTCCTAGCCGGAGCCCTGCAGAAAGCGTGCTATCTTCTGTTATCACCTGGGCAGCTGCCTGGGTGTGCCACTAGCAGAAGCCTAGGGAACAGGAGCATTGAGTTCCATTCTTGATTCTGTTGCCAAGTTGCTGTCCAGAGCTGGGAAAGATACGTCACCTCTGAGATGTCTGGATTTCTGATTTCTGAAATGGGTAGTCTCAGATACAACCTTGTATTTATGGAACATCTGCTGGCTTTCAGAGGACGAGAGCTTATGTGATCACTTTTCATTCCTTGAAACAAATGCACAAACTATGCAGGGTTCCTGCGTAAATACATGAACATGTGTGTACATCGGGAAATAGAAGAAAGGGCCATGTACCTGTCCCTTGATTTAGCTGGCTATCCGGTGACTTCTGGGGTACACACGTGTGCCATCACCTCCCAGGAGCATGGAAAGGTATTGCCCAGTGTAGGGGGCCACAGATGGTTCTGGGGATTCGTCCTCCAGGGTTAGCCTGCATCCGACACCCAGAGTGCCTCCTGCAGAGAGTGACCCTGGCAGAGTCTCCAAGCCCCACTTTGCCTTCCGGATAAGTGAAGCTTATCGTAACACCCGCCTCTTAGAGTTGTGACATGCGCTGAATGCGTTGATGGCAGAGCTTTAGCGGTGCGCACGACACATGCCCAGAGCTCACTAAACACCAGTGTTATCAAAAGGGAAGGTGTTGGCTGGGTGCAGTGGTGCACTGGCTCACGCCTGTAATCCCAGCACTTTGGGAGGCTGAGGTGGGAGGATCATTTGAGGTCACGAGTTTGAGACCAGCCTGGGCAACATGGTAAAACCCTGTCTCTACTAAAAAGATTTAAAAAAAAAAATGCTGGATGTGGTGCATGCCTGTAATTCCAGCTACTTGGAGGCTGAGGCAGGATAATCACTTGAACCCGGGAGAGGGAGGTTACAGTGGACCAAGATCGCGCCACTGCACTGTGTCTGGCAACAGAGTGAGACTCTGTCTCAAAAAAAAAGAGGAAGGCATTGTCACTTCGTATCCCTAGTAAATAAAAATCTTTTTTTTTTTTTTGAGACAGGGTCTCACTGTGTAGCCCAGACACAGTGCAGTGGTGTGATCATGGCTTACTACAGCCTTGACCTTCTGGGCTCAAGCGATCCTCCCACCTCAGCCTCCTAAGTAGCTAGGACTACAGACATGCGCCACCACACCTGGCTAATTTTGTTTATTTTTTGTAGAGACAGGATCTCACCTTTTTGCCCAGGCTGGTCTCAAACTTCTGGCCTCAGGTGACCCACCTGCTTGGCCTCCTGAAGTACTGGGATTATAGGCATGAGCACCACGTTCAGCGAAAATTAGCTTCTACTACTAACCGTCTTTATTAAAGCACATATGCTCTTCCAAAATCCAGAAAGCTATGCTTCAAAACTGAAAACTCAAATACTTGAATATTCAGTTTTTAAGATTTCCTGCAGCAGATGTTTAATTCAAGTTCACTCTCCCTTTCTGTAGTGTGATGACGTGTCATGCTTTTCACTGCCTGCTTCTCACAGAGTTGTAAACAAATTCCAGCACAAACAACATGAAAGCTTCATGGGGCAGTGGGTGGTGGGGGGTGGCAGGGGGGTGGGGGTGGCAGGGGGGTGGGGATAGAGATTGCAAATCGTGAGGTATCAGCAAGTCCTGAATGAATGCACTGACCATCCCGGGAAGGGGAAGGAAATAGCAAAGGTGGGACCCAGGCATTTGTCTGTTATTGTCTACAAAAGGCGTAGGTAGCACTGAAGGCTTCTCTTTTGATAGTAATATCTAAAAGCCCAAATAATATCCGGATAGGAAGAGTTTTCAGTAGTTACTTGTTGATTCTCCAAACAAAGGCTTATTGCTTTTTACCATACTCTATATCTCTCAAAATCAACTCCAGCCAAGCTTCAGGTCAGCGAATATTAATCTCCACTCTGGCAAAGTGTTCTGGATTTTTTTTTTTTCCGTCTCCCAAAAGGCAACGTCTGTTTACTTTATAGCTCAATTTCAAAGGACCAAAGAAAGCACTCCAACTTTATCAGTGAAAGTCTGAATAGCAATCCCTTATAAGTGGATATATTAGGCTGAACAGGAGAATGAAAGCAGTTTGGCTCTTCCTATTTCACACAACCTCTTGTAAGATATTGCGTTTAATGTTTGCGAATCACTATCGTGCCTCCGATGTATTCAGGTCATTTCTGCGAGTTACCAGCTTCCTGTGAGCCATCAGACACAACTCTGCAGCACTCAGGGAGTCTAGTTGAAGACTTATTTTGATTCCAGCACTTTCATGTTCATTTCACAAAAGACGTTAAAAAAAATCAAACTCTTGTGGTTTTATGTTGGGGGAGGCTGCGATTCTTAGCACATGTTGAAAGAGTGCGCTAGACATGGATGTCGCACCTGGTTTAGTTTGGTTTTCTTTACAGTCTCCTTCCAGTTTTACCTAGCACGGGGTAGGAGCTGTTGCTTTAAAAACAATATGCATTTTAAATAAGTCAGGGACTATGGTTCTATGAATCTGGACTAAGAAACTCACATGAAAGGAACCACTAGTGGGTTGCCAGTGTTGGCAAGATTAATGTTAAATATGAGGCCGGGCACGGTGGCTCACGCCTGTAATCCCGGTACTTTAGGAGGCTGAGGTGGGTGGATTGCCAGAGGTTAGGAGTTCGAGACAAGCCTGGCAAACATGGCAAAACCCTGTCTCTACTAAA